GTAAACCTAAAATAACCGTAGCGCAACAATTTTAAATACTGCATTCAATCTAAAATCGGCACCAGGAAGATACTCTCCTCATGACACCCGAATACTTAAAGAGTTTGTAGATGCAGGTATAAAAGAAGGCGTCCTGTATAGTGGCCAGAGCCCATTCTCTAGCCGTGCGATTTTGGTCCCAAAAGATGGCAAACCCAAAGGACGAATGGTGATAGATTTCCGACAAGTTAATAACCACACGAAAAAATCGGCTTACCCGTTACCGGTGGTTCAAGACGGAATACGCAAAGCTTCTGGTCATAATTTTTACATAAAGCTTGGCCTTAAGTTAGGGTTTTATCAAATAAAACTGACAGAGCGTACTCAAAAAATCTGTTCCTTTGTCAACCCTCAAGGGCAATATTTATTCAAAGTTATGCCTTTCGGGTTAACCAATGCACCTGCTACATTTCAGAGAGCGATGGATGAGTGCTTCCAACCTATCTGTAACATTACATCAAACATGATTGATGATATGATTACTTAGGGCAACACAGTGGCAGAAACTACCCACAACGCTTCATTGGTTATGGAACGACTTGAATCTTGTGGTTACAAATTGAACCCCAGGAAATGCGCATGATTTTTCACATAGACTAAATTTCTCGGACATATCATCGATAGGAACGGTATTCAAGTAGATCCTTCAAAGATTCAAGCAACTCTCGACAGACCTATCCCACGAACAGTTACCGAAGTGCGGGCATTCCTAAACTCTTGCAATTACTTTAGGGATTACGCCAAACTGTTCAGGAAGCTAGTAGGTACTTTATATAGTATTACTTCTCTAGAAGGAAAAAATATACCTGTAACACTTGATGATGAGCAAACTGCGTTATAGAAAGCTACTCGAAACGCATTGGTCACCATTCCCGTTTTAAAGCCAATGGACCCTCAGTTGCCCGTGGTTCTGGATGTTGACGCTTCGGAAAAGTATACGGGTGGAGTGTTATTGCAGCCAAGTGGACAATTTACTCCCTTTCTTCGAATGAAGGTGTCACAGCCAAAAATGGAGGGTGCTCATTAACATCCCGTAGCATATACTAGCCACAAACTTAGCCCTACTGAACAAAGATATTCTTCACAAGAACGAGAAGTTCTAGGAATAGTTCAGGCTCTGCAAACTTTTCAAGACTGGATTGAAGGATGCGATATCATAATTAGAACAGATCATGAAAGTTTGGCTGGGATCCAGAAAAAATCAAATTTATCTCGCAGAATGCAACAATTCATCGACATTCTCGAATATTTCGATCCAAAGATTGTGTACAGAAGAGGAAAGTCTAATTATTTAGCGGATTGGCTTTCTAGACCTCCAAGTCCAATCAAAGCTTTCCCAATCGGAGCATTCGACCCAGTTCACGATAGTTCAACATCTGTATCGCATTTCAGAATTCCTGATATTAACAGATTAACTTGGATAGATTTGCAATCAATCGGAGAATATCTCCAACATAAAGTTGCTCTTCCAAGCAATCTTCCTGAGGGTTAGGTTAATAAAAAATTTCCTTCTCACAATGGCCATACCTATAAATTTCATAACGATAAATTCTTAAAGATATATCATCATGGAAGGCTCGTCAAGGAACTTGTAAAGCTACATGAAAATAACGCGCACTGTTCCACAGGTACATTGATTAGAGAATCTAGAATCATCTTTGGCATCCTGATATTGTTTTAGCTGCTCAAGAAGCGTACAAAACATGCTCACGATGTCAAATTATGACCTAACCTATTGATATACATTTGCAGGATAATTTACGCCCAGTACAGGTCTCCGCACCGTTTACAAGGTGGGGAATGGATCACACCGGTCCGGTGCGTCATTATGGTCTGGCGGCTTATCTGTGCACTGCCATCGATCATGCAACTTCATATGCCATGGTACTATTGACCCAATCTCCAAACACCACCTCCTGCCTAGAACTTATACGCCAAATCTACACACTGTTCGGGATTAAACAACTGGTAACGGACAGTGGACAAGCATTAGTGAGTAAAAAAATTCTGCTTTTTGCAGAGATAAATCAATTGAACAAAGTCTTACGAAACCATACCGTCCACACACAAACGGCAAAGTGGAAAGATTCAATGGCACAATGAAAAGTATTTTCTACGCCATATCCTCAATCATTCCGTCCCGCAGCATCCAGTGGATCTTAGATCAATCGCTCAGCACGTACAATCGATGTCCTAACTCTACTGGTCAAGCTCCCGTATTCTTGGCTCTCGGAGTCACCCATGAAGAACTTCCAAGCCCTTATGTGCGAGAACTTACTCCATCGGAAGAATCAAGCTTTGCTGCCGAACTCGTGAAATTTTATAACCCTAAAGTGCAAAACGCACGCATGAACGTCGCAACTGGGAAAGCAGCAAAGGATGAAATTCGTTCCTACCTTCAAGAGAGAAAGACTCGCCTGAGAGCATTTGGAAAAGGCGATTGGGATTTGAGGCAGAGAAAAAGAGACCATAAAGGAGAACCATTCTACGATGGTCCATTTATTGTTGCAGATGCCACACCTCAAAACGGATACATTCTGCGTACTCCCAGAGGGTTCACCCTCCAAAATGAGTACCATAGACAACAGCTATTTCCAGCTTATGTTAGGGATAGCCATCCTATTAGATCTCTTTGGTATGGAAGCAAAACCCCACTTGATAGGGACAGACGAGAAGTGTTGGATGCATTAACACCCTGGGATCACGCTGACGACATCTGATATAGGAGAGAGGGATGGTGTGTGTCCAGGTCACGGGACAAAGGGATGTTAACATCAGTGTAGTACCTACTATGTAATCATAGGTTAGTGTGTTTGTATTCTTGGGGAGTTTCTGGTCAGCATTGAATGAACAACGAACTTACACTAGCCTTAACGAACTCCACAGGCATTCTGCAATCCAAGATTACAGGCGTGCTTTGAGTTCATAATCTACAGTAATTCATTCGTAATCCATACACGTGAACGCACAAAACCAAGCCCGACTGTCCAAAAATCTGCAGTGTACATGCGTTAGCGCATAGTACTGAAGGGTGGTAGTATATATGGTCTTATACCCTTGTTATCTTCAATTAAACGATTAGAACTACTCAAGGGGGCATGGATTATACTTGGGTAATTATGGCAATGACGTGTGAGGGATGCGAAAGTTATCTTTAATGGTTGTCTTCTAATGTGGTTACAAATTAGACACTGACTTGATAATTGACCAATCCCACATACTTCCAGATAGCGCCGTAAATAGTCTACTTTAGGAGTGTTCTACAGGTGAGTGTAGCAATCGGTGGTATCTATCACTTATCTATTTCCCTCTCATTGGTCCTGCGTGCTACATTACTTAGTTTACAATTAGAAGTTAATATGGTCAGTGCCTTTTCAGCACGTAATACTCCTCAGCCTCCGCCATCACGCGCCCAAGGTCTTGACATCCATATTTACTTCGAGATATCTTTTTCATCCTAGATACAGGCGTTGTCCTGGCCTTACACCTCCTTATCGCACTGTCAGGTTGTTGTCGTCATTAGGAATATGTGTGATCTCATCAGAATATATTTCATGTTTCCCTCCTTCGTATATGTCCTGTTTCTATCACGAATTTCCTCATTATGGCGCGTATGGGCAGGTGGTACGATAACTGTGGAGGATCAACCGAGGAATATTTCGTCGCAAGTCTGTAATGAGATAGAGGGATGTCAGTTGTTTGAATTTGACCTTCATTAAGACATAGGCCTATTAGTTAATCGTATGTTGGTCATGATGAGTTTTATTCGGTTTTATTGCGGTTGTGAAATATCTATCGGCTAATTCTTAATCAAAATGCCGAATTTAACGCCTTCAAGCAGATAATCCATCAAATATAATCCATCCCACCCTTTTTCGTGACGAAAAGGCGGCTCTGTGAAAAATGAAATATTTTCAGTTTCGTGGAAGATAACACTGGCAGGTGTTCAGACTTCGTCCTCTGATGATGGACAGTATCTCAGGGTCTTTGAAGTTTCTGTGATGACTGGTGGATGACTGTAATGGAGAAAATATTCATGAAAAATAGGAGGGATTTTGGGGATTAGCTACAGCTGAGATTAAAGGGAAGTAAAAACGAATGGATTGGACGAACAGTGGCTCAGCCTGTGGCTGAGAAGTTTGCGCTTCGGTAAATCGGAATGGAGTTCCTTTGGTGGCTGGGGCGGACATAATTTTTGCATAGGTCATTTTTGAGGGACGAGGCTATCCTAGTTTACAGAACTTAACCTGACTCGGCATGGCCCCACTCTAGCCCAAACTCTGAAGGTGTGCATAGGGTGCCAGTTGCCAAACGTCTTGATTCATAAGCAGAAAAACATAAATTCTTGGCGCACTTCCTTAACTTGTACCTAGCCAAATAAAATATTCTCATTGCCAGTGCATCTAAGTTGAAGTGGCCCTTCCCAGTTCAAAGGAAAGTTGAATTGACTTGAGCTTGTGAAGATTTGTTATGTCCAGCTTGCTTCACTGCAAAATTGAAAAACGATAGACAAGATTTGATCACGACAAGAAAATTCTTACTACTCTCGTCTCTTAGAGCATCTATCAAGGTCCGAGGCTGCTCGCGTCGTTTAGATATGCTGAGCCCAATTCGACCCATATAATTCAGTTAACCTGATTGAAGGATTGCCTTGTATACCCGATATCATATAGTCTAAGGGTTGTAGGTCATTTCCTTGGCTAGAGTCTCTAAAAACCCTATTTTTGAGGTTGGCTTTACTTTGTTGGTATTGTCCATTTAATTCATTGCATCTATCAGACTAGTATCCAACTGCAAAAGGATACCATTATTGAATACATGCGTCTAATCTCTATAATTTCCGGCATATCATTATATAGAAACTTAGACTCTGAAGTGAATAAAGACCTCAAGTTAAACTTTTAACCTACATACTGTACAGTTCGTTAAAGCCCTAAAAGCTTTGAGAATGATGTGCTGATCTAGGTAGATTTTTGTGCCTTCATAACCTTTTTTCTTTGAGCTATCATGTGGGTAAAGAGAATGTAAGAGCCTTAAATCACTGTTAGATCTATTACAAGTGAAAGATTTATGGTATCATACCCGGGATGTAGATCAGAATGCATATTTGAAGGGCCCGAGCTAAGATATGGTGTATTTGACCGGCAGGTGAAATTGCCTTGAGAATTAACCAACATTCACTACTTATCCCAATTGGGTACAAGACGTAAAATGTATTATATCGTAACCAGGTCACGATACGTGGGTTGTAGCCGCTGAGGTTGAAAACAAAGTAGGAATATCTGATGACTTCTGTCACACTCCATGCAATAAGCATGCTTGAATAGGCAGGACTCTGAGCAAGATATGGAAATGGTAAAACTATCCCCCAGACGAGGAGAAGTCGGCTTGCCACCTGCATTGCTGTTGTCGTAATGGGAGCTCGTACAATACCTAAAGCAATGAATATATGAGCCGTGCATGGGTTATGTAACTATACCAGAAGCAGAGTGTACGACTTCCAAGAGCGCCATGGATTGAGTCAACAATGTAAATTTTCCAACACCTTGGTGTACCAGTTCAAACCCTAGCAATGGCACAAGTAGTAGAACTCGACCAAGAATTATGAGCCATAACAATGCCGATAGTAAATTGTAGAGAATTAAATATTGTTTGCGTCCTGAGCTGGATGTTAATGGCTTGGCTTGTCTCCGAGACCGGCTCTGGGTCGCCTTGTTCTGGCTTTTAGACCGTTTTGAGGAAGCTTTATCGTTCATAATTGAATTGTGGCGAGACTACACTATTTAATCAAGGCTGTTTCAAAGATTAAGTGTGATTTATATTTGAGGCAACACAGCTAGAAGAGGTAGCGGAAATGAATGTGATAAGGTGGTTACCAGCGCGCCAAAATCGTTTTATCTACCTAAATTGATGAAGCTAAGAGGAACAAAGTATCTCCGGTGACGCGCGCACATCAAATTCTAGCGGCTCTCGACCTTGGCGATACCAAGCACCACTGCAAGGGAACAATTAGGTAATAATTAGAGCTATGACCCACAAGAAGGCAAATGATTTGCACAACGTTTAACTAGAGCCTGACAAGTGCCTAAAGTAGCCTAGCGGCTCAAATTCGATGCGAGCACATCGCGCTTAATTCGTATTTACACAGAAGAAAACTACCAGAAGTCTACGATCCATGCTATCCATGTGGCTACCAATCACAAAATCCCCAGAAAATGAACCAGTCCTGCCCAAAGTGGTCAAGTGGTAGGAGTGAGATCTGGAAAGGAGCCCGAAAACTCTCCTTTATTTGTTGTATATTTATTTATATTTATCTGATTTGATTTGTTCTCATTCTTCTGATTTTGCGCCCTATGAGCCCATGCAGGTGTATATCATACTTTCTTATTTAAATGGGAGGAAACCTTTTGGTGAAAACCCCCCAAACCTTCCTGTTTATTATCTATATTTTTCTGATGTGCCCTTTAGGAAGCATAGTTACACTGTAATGCCCTCCATGTAAACCAATCACATTAGTTTTATCGACCTCAAGAAAGGCATAACCTGTTTCTTTCTCTCAGCAGTCTTTCGACCGCCTTCGTCATTTGGAATTATTCTATTCAAACATGATTTAAGATCCGCTGTGTTATCTTTTTGATATCTCCAGGATTGTTTAGCATAGCTTCGTAGGACCGATCTTTAGGTTGTCTCCAAATCTCTCCTCTCTCATTTGACCATCGAGGGCAGGACATAATTATGTGTATGAGGTTCTGCGATTGGTACCCATATGGACAGCTTGGACTGTAGACTCCCGGTACTTTTCTTCTGTATCTATACGAATTGAGCCCCATGTGCTCACTTCGTATTTGCATCGCTGGACTGCTTTGGGACCTTTTCAGGTTTTATACATTTACATTGTTAAAGTCCTAAGCTGAAGCTCTAGGTCCACTATAGATACAAGACTGGTAGAGCCGGCGGGGATCACTGCTAACAGGCCCAGCTCGTTCCAACCACGAGACCCGCTACAGAAAAAGTAGAAGGTAAATTACAACTCAGAAGACACCACCTACTCTGACTCCGAAATCGAGGCTCTATCCTTCAACTCTAAATTCAAATACAAAATTTTTCCTCAGAGAAACGACATTTCTCGCCCTATTCCCTTCTTTGTCACGCATTGTGGCAATGATCAGTTTGTCCGATACCCGCTGGGAGCAGTGGATGAGTGGGCAGGCTGCCTACCAAAACAGCCGGTTTTCTCCACAAATATTTTGAAGCTTTCGTGGCAATTGGGCCCAAGAAGCTTTTTGACAGGTCAACGTAGGATATTGACTTTTGGAGCCTACACGTGTGTTGTGCGTGGCGGCTACGGTGGATGAAGCGGGTTTGAGTAGTTTCCTTCCCGCAAGTGCACTTCATAGGAGCGTATGGGTTGTTAAAACGACAATAGTATGCCGCAAAATTGCCGTGTCCTTTTCGGGCTGCGATTACTTCGCGGAGGAGGTGTCTACAAAGTGACAGCTCTGGTGGTTTGCGTCTCTAAACAATCAAGTTAAGTTGGCGGTATTTAGGCTAACAAGCCTCTTCTCACCAGTTGTCGAACAATCTCTGTCGTCTTTGAATCATGACTCCATGAAGATATACCAGAGTACTAGATCCTGGCTGTATAAACGGGCAATGGCTTCTGCCTCTTCATTTCCATGAATCACTGTGTGCTCTGGCACCCACCTCACCGATATTTCTGCCTTGTTGGATAACGCACGGAACTTGCGTATATCTTCTAGACTAGTTGGGGACGATCCCATCATAAGCGCCCTTACTGTCTACTGACTGTCTAAAAACACGTGTATTTGCCACGAACCTCCATCTTTTCTGGACTGCTCAGTCTCCGTAAATTCAAGTGCGGCCTCCAGAGCCTTTCTTGCTCCTATTATCTATGCATCCAGTACCCCTCCCCCGTGCTCGGTGCCACTTCTTTGCCGATGAGTTTCCCATCCTTTTTCAGAACGAGCCCCCAGACGGAGCGTCCGCGTCCTTCTGATGAACCATCCGAGTATGCGCAAAAGTCAGTTCCTGGCACGGTGTTAATCCATTTAATACAATCTTCGCGTTCCATCTGCTTTGAGCCCGCTTTCGTAGGGTAAACCATCGGCATCAAACTCCTAGGTGCTTCTGCTTCCGGGACCTCTCGGTAGGCACGCTGTAACCGTGAAATTTGGATTTCTGGTCTGGCAGAGGTTTTGGCGATCTTTTTGTATTTTTGAGTGCCGAGATTCGGGTACACGCAAGCGCGGATACTCAAAGGGTGTCGATAATCAAGAGTCTTGAGTCTTGCCGAAAGTCGGAGTCGGTTTCCCTCTAGTATGACCTTTACGGGCGGGATTCCTCCTCTGTGAAGGACTATATTTGGTGTTGTCCTCATTACTGGAAGTGCAGCCCGCAATCCCATCAGGTTAGCTCTATCAATCATGCTGCAGAGATTGGAGGTTGGAGGTTGAAGATGTGACCATTCCTCGTAGAGCTGGGCGTTTGGACCCTGGCCACTAGAGATCAGATCCAAATGTTGCGAGAGACAATTCATATTTCTACTGCCCTATCCAACGGCCTGGGAGCTGCTCCCCGAAAGGCAGAGTTGAAGCGGCACATGTGTTGGGTAACTTTTAGTGCTTTATCGCAACACGTAGTTACATAGTTTTTGAAATTAAGTTGAGGATCTTGATATACGGCCAACCAGCGATAGTCTCCGCAGGCTCTATTAAGGTTCCGTTTTCATGTACACCAACTGCTTCTTCTTGGCGTCTTACAGGGAATTGGACGACATCGGATTTTACCGCGTCCATTCGAGAAGATGATCTATTTCTCCTTGTACAGCAGCGACAGACTCGGTAATTATGCGGCCGAGCCCTAGAATACCGATATTATCGGCATAACTAAATCTCGATCTCGGAGTACCGCTTTTCATTGGCTCTGCCATATACAGAAGGAATAGCTAAGGCGATATTGGTGATCTCTGGAGGATTCCACAGATCAGCTCTCTCTGGGCGGTAACTCCACCGGAGAAGCGCACTTGAACCTTCTTAGGTGAGAGGAATGGAGATGTTCATCGAAGGATCGAGTCTGGCCATCCCTGGGAGCGTGCTTCTTCGACGTCATGGACTACGCAGGAGATTAGGTCCGTTGCAGATCGTTTGGGAGCGCACCGAATTATTGATGGCCAACCACATCACAGATAATTGCGAGGTGTGCCATTCGCTTGGCAAGAAGTCTTCCTAATACTTTGCCTATGCACGAGAGGAGGGCTATAGGTATCCAGCCTTTGATGGTAGTTGGGTCCCTATTCGGCTTTTCCAGTAGTACCACTTCCGCCAACTTTAAGCAGGATGGATGAGTGCCAAGCAGTATGCAGGCTCTAAAGAGCTGCGAGATACACGGTCCGATCTATTGTAATTTGTTTGCTAGATCTGGCGGTGTAGCTTATCACAGTTAGAGAATGTATTCTAGAATGCAGTGGTGGCTCGTTACAGATGCGATTGCGACAATACAACTGAGGGTTGTATGAAAGTTTGGCACTTCTATGGGTCTCAAGTGTGTGGAGGTTGATTTAATTATTGATGATAATTGCTTGTTATGTCTATCTACAGAGAATGTGTTACAGTTATACGTGTGCCCGTAATCGCTTAGATTTGGCTAGTGGGCTGTCCCCTCTTATACTTCGCTCCCGTGTTCTATCACGTGAGATGTAATAACTGCTCACCACAAAGTCCGCAGATTGAACAGCGTTAGATCACAATACGATCATCTTCCAGCAAGCCTCGAAGAGCTCAAACGTGACCCCGTCTGCCCCTGGTGCTGTCTTTCCATAGCCGATAGTGCAAGTTCGCACTTCCTCATCTGAGATATCGTCTTCCCAGGGTATTTGATTATCGCTTGGAGTGTTGCATGGCGGAAAGTCGTCCGATTGTTGGTGATGTGCAAGAAGGGCATCCTGGAGAATGGTAGCTCGCTCCAACGGATCTGTGATTAACTTTCCATTGTGATTGAGCGGCGGGGTGGTTTTGATCTATCTGTGGTTTGCCGAACGCATCAGCTTGAATATGTCAAACGGTGCTATCATTGCTTCCACTTGACTTGTCTGATACTCTTTCTTGGCGACTGTGATGACTGCGCGCAGCTTCTTCGCGCAAATAGACCGATTTGTGAGTGATATCGCGGCTCTGTATTCAGCGTATACGGATTTGCACATAGGAGTTCACCATGGATTAGATTTATCGCTTTACTTTCTGGCCCGGGTCCCAGTTGTTTTGATGGCATTAGTGATATGGAAGCAGATCTCCTGGACGTATGTGCCCACTTCCTCTATCGTATTTAAATGTAAAGGCGGGTGTACCCATTTTACAACGGCACGCGCAAAATTAGGCAAATTTTTTCGGTCACAATGATCTTTGATGACGCCGGGTTCCTGGTGACGGTTGCTGCAGGTACGAATCCACGGATCGGAAGATGGTCGCAGGTCATACACTCCTCTCTATCTACCCAAGAACGGGCTCCAGATATGTTAGTCCAGGCGAGATCCAGAGTATTTCCATCTTTATGAGTCGGCTCTCCAATTATAAGGCAAGAGAGATTGTGGTCTTCCGCCCACCTCTCTATTTCATCACCCTGTCCATACGGCCGAGTTGCTTCTGGCTGCCAGGCAGCATGCACTGACTTGAAGTCCCCGGCTGCAATGGACCTCGCAGACGGCTTCCAGTCGACAAGCGTGCGGACTGCAGTCAGGTCGTTAGGGGCCTTATACACGTTGAGAAATGTGATTCCATTGACCAGTACCCAGCAGTAGTCCCCAATCAGCGTATTACAAGGGAAAATCTGCTCCTCTGATATCACCTTTTCGTTTTTCCGATTGTAAGTCACTGCCTTCGGTCTAACATCCATACCTCCGTACGGTATATGACAGAAGTAGCCTGGGTTTGACATGGTTTCTTTTGATGTTGGTTCCCTTGGGGTTCTTGTATTAGCACAACATCGACGCGTAGCTCTTAGGCTCGCGAGAGCGCAATATTGTAAGTTGGGCCTCCCCTGCCCACATTGATGGACATAAAACTTAGTATAGGAGGGGAGCGATAAGGGGCCCGTAGGGCGCCCTTCTCAAAGCTTCTCCAGGGTTCAAGGGCCCAAAGCCCGAACTCTCAGTCATTGCTGTGTCTGTCGAGGAGGTGTCCTTAGAAGCTGCAGATGAGGTTGGTCGTGTCATTTTCGCGGCAGCAGCCGCAGCCTTGGTAGCCGCTTTAGCCCTAGCAACGGCCTGGTATCTACGTTGGCTATTGAAATGTATAGCCCACTATTTAGTTCGTGGACTTGTTGGTCGATGGAAGCTTATGCAACCATGAAGGATAAAAAGAATGACAATTTCGACTACTCTTCTAAATACAGGTACCAAACTCCTTTTAACCCCAATAGATAGCCCGTGCGGTTTCTCCTATTAATAGCAGTAAACAACACTAACACAGGGTAAACGCTATCTCCGATCGCCAAACACCGGTCGGTCGTGACTACTAATTATCGAGCCAAGTAGGATCAAAAAAGTGTATCCCAACACAGAAATAATAGAAAACTCAACAACCCAACCCTTCATCAATAACTGCCATTAACCATCACCTGCCTTATCTCTGTACTCCATAATTGCAACATTGGTCAGCTTTTCGAGTCGTCACAAGTTGCTCCTTGGTAGCTGGGTCGGACCTGTTGGGACGCGCCAGGTAGTCTCGACATTTAGAGGCTGCTTTTGTTATGATGTAAAATCACTCAGACAATTAGACAAGATGTATTAGATGATATAGAAATCTATACAAGATGTGGTTCGTGCAGTGACATGATAACAGTTGCATGTGGATGGTGTGAACAAGAATGTAAACTATTCTATAGCATATGATAGAATATCTTACATCACAAAATGGAATATTCTACTAGCAATTAGATAGATGAGCTTTAGGTACAAACGGGAGTATTTTCCTCCACATAGATATCAATCATCAGGAAACGAATCTAAGAAAGCGAACACACATCATCGTCCACTTCATAATAGTGTCAAGCACATATTGATACAGCCACTGTTAGTATGCAATTCCCCTCCTCATAATCACAATAGCTTTACACTCGAATGCCGAGTGCATGGTAGATCCATAGTTCCAATAGGCTGGTGCGCAAGAACATTCACGTGTAGCGTGGAATCCAAGGCGCCTCCTACATTGCTGTATAGGAGGGCGAGTTCGTTGCATTGTGGATACTCCTGAGTCGTCAGAGAGCCCGAAACCCGGCTTTGGTATGGCATCTTTTAGAAACAGAGCCGTCCAAGATCCATTGGGGGTCCCGAACTTTGTTTTCCTGTGAATCCTTACTTGGTCGGGACAGCAGTTAGTGACCCCATGAATCCTATATAGTGTAGAAGACAAGATATTATGAACATTTAAACCAACATAGAATCGTATAAGCCTTTACTGAATCATTACGATGGATCGCGAAACTACCCCGTAGTAATTCCAACAGAGACCTAATTAAGATTTTTCTTTCGCCTCACAAGAGAAAATTTGATAAACAAAATGATGATGGAGATGCATGAGCGTCCTTTAAAGTAATTTGTCTAGTTTGGCTAGTCCTTCATAAAATTTGAATTTGAAATCTTTTACGTAATAGGAAAAGCCAAACATCTATTTAGACGTGACACGGGTAGATGGGCGCTGAGAACTCATTGCTACCTACATCACCGGCAGTGAAGCCAAAAGCGACAAAAGATAAGAAGGAAATAAAAAAGAACAGTATATGTCTCAGTTACGGTGCCCTGCGCCGCATCCCTATCTTCCACACCCATCTAATCTCGGGTCAGAAACAATCTCAACGTGGTCATCTTCCACCTTGTTCATTCTTCGGCAGACTGTAACATCTGCTTGTAGCTAAGAATTGAATGAACTTCTGCCATCGCTTCTCCCTTTTCATTTTCCTTGCCCCAGGTGGGGCTATTTTCTCATAGCTTCTCCAACGTTTTTTTTAAATCATTTAATGTGTATTCAGCTATAGAGCTATGACACATGACCGGTGCTATGTTTACATATTGGATGACCCTTTTGATGTTAGAGACACTCGTACTCTAGATTTCATTCGCAAGTACCACTATGAGGTATGCTTGCTTACACAAACAGTGGACCCTCCTCCGTGAGTACCCACCGAAGGGACGTTTCAAAACTTTTGGTAATCCAAGCATGCCTTAAATCCCACTCGAGACATCAGATCGCTGGTTAGAATCCGGCAAAACTAAATTACGTTTCTCGCGGCGCTAGTGTACATGGATGATAGTGTCGGAGCTATTCAGATTCTACTTGGAATACCGGCGAAGACGTTGGACCACTGCACCATCCAGCCATGGCGATGTTGATAGAGTCGCCTGCAGTCTTCTCCAACGTTGCAAAGCAGGTCGGCACTATGAATAATGCCATGGCATTTTCTTTCGGCCACAAACGCATTTTAAATCTTTATGTTCGGGGTTGAAACGTCGATGGTAGTCTGCGTAGTCCCCGCGGCCTGTTCTTGCCGCAATAAAACTATGGTACGCCCATCGTGGTAAAGCTAGATCTGGTGGTCTTTTGCAACGCATGAATAGGTCCAGATCTTTGTATCGTTTCGGTCGATACTTCTTCATAGTCATAGACTCAGTAGGGACTTAAATTTAATTCTATTCTATCTTTCTTAAAAGTAACTGGGGCTTACACTAGGGGAGAGTCATCGTGTTTCGCCGTGGATCTATTTCTCAAAACAATACAGCCACATGCCTCCATGGTCCCATAAATCGGAACGATAAATGACAATAAACAAGAATTTATGTATACCGTTACAATCCTCTCGCCCTACGCATATTAATGATCCTTATCTCCTTTGACCTAATCTCCTCATTTCTAGCACTTTCATTATTACACATGTCACATAATTCTTCGTCTTGTTGGCTGTCGCTATACTAAGATCGAGAGCAGAATAACTCCAATTTATTATTAGCGTAATTGGAGAGGGACAATAACTAAGTTTGAAAATAAGTAACCCGTTCTCAGCTCTGCAAATTCTAGTTTGGAGGCTCGAGGTTCAAGATGGACACCGCTAATAGATGCCGAGTTCAGTCCATTGGTATCTCATAATACTTCATTCTTATAACACTTATTTGTAACCCGAATTTGGTCTTAGGACCAAAACTAAAACTATCTCTCCTGTTAATTTTATTACCACGTGAAATTTTTGACCTACTTATTCTAACTGGACAAATTTGACATGCACCTGAGTAAATGACTAGTCAAAGCAAATACCGATAATAATTAGATTATCTGTTTATACATAAGGCCGTAAATTTGTAGTTACGCTACACAAAGCCTTTCTGCTCAGGTAGGCCGAAAACCTGAACCACAGAAACGTGGCTTGCATCGTACAATAATTATTTCCATCTATTCGGCGACCCATACCGCCGCCATGCCCATACCAGTTCCGATACACATGCTAGTAATACCTATACGACCTCCCCTTCTCCGCAGTCCATACAATAATGTACTGACTTGCCTCGCACCAGTGCAGCCCAAGGGGTGTCCAAGAGCAATAGCTCCACCCTGAGGGTTAATTTTGTTGGAATCTAGCCCAAGTTCTTGAGAGCACCACAGGCATTGACTAGCGAATGCCTCGTTTATCTCAAATGTGTCAATATCTTCCTTTGTTAATCCGGTTTTCTCAAAGACTTTTGGAATGGCAGCCCAGGGTCCAACTCCCATAAGAAGAGGTGCTACACCAACAACAGATGAAGCAACAAATTTGCCCAAGATTTGCTGCCCCAAACGCTCTGCGGTCGAACGTTTCATCATAAGTACCGCCGCAGCACCATCTGAAATTTGAGAGGCGTTTCCAGCATGAATCGAGCCATCTTTGGCAAATGCTGGCTTGATAGATCCAAGGGATTCAGCTGTAGTATTAGGACGGATTCCGTCGTCCTGGCTGACTACAATCTCTTTTGCTTCTCCAGTCTTTGCATCTACCCACTGGACTTTGAGCGGGGTTATCTCATCGTTAAAATGTCCAGCTTTCTGAGCCTCGTACGCCTTCTGGTACGAAGCGGCTGCGAAAGAGTCTTGTGATTTGCGACTTATATTTCGGTCTTTTGCCATTTTTTCTGAGAGTATTCCCATTGGAACTTTACAGTTTTTTGACTCTGGATGAGATTCAAGTAGCTCAGAGAACTCAGTTACAGCATCTGGTCTATCAATCACGTGTATTGTTAGTTGAGAATAGAAAACTTAACGAATAATCTTACCCATAATGCATACTCATGCTTTCTACTCCAGCCCCGACGCCAACTTCGATCATTCCGGCTGCAATAGCATTTGCAATATCAACACAGGCCTGTAGACCACTGCTACATTGTCGGTTGACGCTTCTTACTGCAGTAGATACGGGAAATCCCGCTACTAAGGCAGCGGCTCTGAACTCTGTAGCACCACCTCCTGGTGGTAAGACTGAGCCGACAGCAATATCCTCCACTAGGCTAGGATTTATACCAGATCGAGATATTAGACCTTTGAATGTACCGACAAGGAGATCAGCTGCAGCAGTATCTCTAAATCCCCCTTTACCGCCTCTGGTTAGTGGAGTACGTAAACAAGCCGTAACTACAATCTATTAGATAGATTAGCTACGAGAATCCTAAGAATATTTTGAGACATGGTAATGTCACTAACTTACATCGTCCGCATGCTTCTCTAATATAGCAGATCGCCCAGTTCTTTTAGGTTGACTTTGAGAACTAGATTTTCCGCCAGTTAATTGAGACATATGCTCGGAGACTTGGCCGAGTCTTTTCAAAGCTATATTACCATGTTAGCTAAATCCAGGTTCCAGGTCATTGAAATGAGCCCGGCAGCTTATTCAAGTCATGTTATCATATTATCGGGATGGGGATGGGGATCTCACCGGCTGACATTTTCGATAGCGTTATCTGACAGTTTCAAATTACTTTTATACCTCTAAGCTTGTTCTAGGCTTTCCTCGATGCGTCAAACGTCGAATTCTCTCAAAAGAAGTCTGTAGCTGACAAGCACTTGGATGGAACTCAACTGTGGCTATCGAGGCTGGATATCCAGTCGAGGAAGCGATATTTAACTCCCCTGATCAAGATTATCTCGGCAAATGTGATTGGCCATGCCATGTTCTAGCAGAGGTAAACTTTCAGTCCCATTATCTTCGCATGTGACGTAATGATCTTATGCTAAGCCGTATCCAACCATACCTTGGAAACTATTAATAGGCCTGTAGATCGACATGTGGCTGAGGTCACGGGAACTGGATCGGCCAATAATGAATTCATTCGTCACAAACAACTAGACACCCAGTACATGACAGTAGTCACGAGCTATGGATAGGCACGACGTTAAATTCAATTAAAATCAAAAATCAAACAACTAGACATTGGACTTATCGCGGAAAACCCCTTGACAAAATTGGACAGCAGGCACTTTGACATCGCATAACCAGTCGAGCTGCATCGCTAGACAAATATGCGTTTTACAGCCAAAAAGTTTTGCTATTCTATTTCGGTTTCCATAATCTTAATGTGCACAAGCCTAAAGCATTTTGGTATCATGAGAAGGGCTCCTTCCACAAATGGCAGACTGTGATGTCATAGCTTTGAGCTTGAGCGATCTAGAAGGGGTTCATAAATCTACTTATGCAAGCCATGGTCATAAAAGAGTGTGAGACAGAACAGTTTGATGGGTATATAGAGAGTTAAGCACATTTCTATGTCCATGATGGTTATTCGCAACACTACTTGCCTGTATCGATGATATCGTATTGAGCCTTCAACCACGTAACTTTTTTTAATGAGTATTAATTCAGTTTCCCGAGTCTCGGTGTGTTGCTTACCGACCCAATCAGTAACAAACTCACCTAGTATGCCATGTGTCGCTTTCTAAGCTCAATTCGGAGGGGGGCTGTGAGGTTAATCAAAAATTGTCTGTTTATTTTGTCCTATGAGGCATAAGGCATGATGTATAACACACTAATTTCAACATTCTCATCATTATTTTTAGTGCACGCCCAGCACGGCCTGTCTTGGATCACATTGTTTCCGTGCCTGAGCGCGTGCGCAGTTCAGACACCATTTCCTTTAGGAGCTGAGATGGACCAGCTATCACCCTGAATTTCAAAAAATTGCCATGTGATACAGAGGCTAGATAGTTTATTGACACATGGTATTCAAAAACCTGGCACAAATCTGAGGATCTTCATAACCAAATTCGAGCAAAAATAATTTGGCATTATTCACTTGCAACGATCGACTGGAACCTTTATTCCGTGGAGTATTTAGTTGGTCAGTCCTAGTACTTTACTTGTACGTATGGAATGAGATAGTGAATGCATGACGTATATGAACTTCTAAAAAGTGACTTTTAAACAAATTACATTCATAACAAATAGAAACATATAACCATGTTTAGAGATAAAATAGTTGCCAATATCTTAAAAGTTCATTTGTTACTTACGATTTCTTCTGGGAACCCCGTAATAGCATTATCTGATATCTAGGCAGGATAGATTGATATATACAAAACAATTGCTGATGTGAATCTTCAGATAAGGCAATAGACCATTTCTAAGCACAAATGTACCTAGTTTTGTTCAGGATCATCTTGATCCCACCCACGACTCATTTGAACTGCTTGATTCCATTTGCGAAACATTCTAGAGCTGGTATTTTCATCTAACTGTGGCCGAAAAACAGTACGAGTCTTTCTATTCATAGGTTTGAGCTCATCAAAGCAATGCCAATATTTGATTCCAAATCCAGCGGCAATAGCAGCTCCTAATGCAGTTGTCTCCCGCATGAGAGGTCTTTCTACAGGGATGCGTATGATATCAGCTTGAATTTGCATGCAAGTATCAGATTGCGACATCCCACCATCAACGGTCAAACTCTCCAAGCGGCGTCCAGAGTCTAATTGCATCGCGTCAAGAATAGCTTTGGTTTGGAAGCAAGTTGCTTCTAGCGTTGCTCTAGCAATATGGCCACGTTGGGTATGCGCCGTAATACCAACTTGAGAGTATTAGTAAAGTAATATGTATAAAATAAGACTTACACATAGTCCCTTTTGCATCATCTATCCAATATGGAGCAAATAATCCGCTGAAAGCGGTCACAAAAACTACTCCTCCATTATCTCTAACAGACTCAGCCATCTCCGTAATCCCGCTTGGGTGTGGGGAAAGGCCAAGATTTTTCGTTAAGAATTTTACTCCAGAACCTGCCACAGCTATACTCCCCTCCAAGGCATAAATAGGCTTGAATTCGTGACCAAAGTCATATGCTACAGTTGCTAAGAGACCGGAGTTAGAGATGACAGGCCTATCACCAACGTTGTAGAGAAGAAAGCAACCGGTTCCGTAGGTATTCTTCGCTTGACCCGGAGAAAACCCACACTGTCCCACAAGTGCAGCAGATTGATCGCCAAGACAGCCAGTGATCTTTATTCCTTTGAGAGCTCCACTTGCTAGACATCCAAAAGATTTGAAATCCGCTGACGGACAAATTTTTGGTAGAGAAATATTATTCTGGTTTACCCTGAAAAAATCAAACAGTAATTTATCATACTTTAGGGTGTGGATATTCATAAACATGGTCCTTGATGCATTGGTAGTATCAGTGACATGTACATCTGCTTCCTTGCCATTGTTGAGTTTGTAAATCAGCCAACTATCCACGGTTCCGAATGAAAGATTGCCCTCTTCATATGCTTGCTTGATAGCCTTAACATTTCGTAACATCCAGATTAGTTTGAGGCTCGAAGGATATGTAGATAATGGCAGGCCACAAAGCTGTTGTAAATTATGCGCACCGACTTGCTTCTTTAACTCCCTCACAATAGAAATAGTTCGCGTATCAGACCATACAATTGCATTGTAAAGTGGTTGTCCTGTTCGGGTATCCCAGCAAATGGTGGTTTCCCTATGGTTTGTAATCCCAATCGCTTTTATCTCATCTTTACTTCTTCCAGAAGCAATAAATGCCTTTGTGGCTTCGTTGATACATGATTCGACCGAGGTTATAAGTTCTATTGGGTCTTGTTCATGCCATCTGCGGCTTGTAAGCGCTATTGTAAATAATATTAGTCGATTTTTTACCCTGGTTCTGGATAAATATTGTTCAGCTCGACTTGATGACTAGCAACTGGGTTTCCATTCCTATCAAATATTAGAAAGCGAGAAGAGGTTGTTCCACAATCGATGCTGCCAAGATATGAATGTAGCCTATCCCTCTCACGTCGTGATAATTCAGTCAGAGAGCCAATTGAAGGATCTTTTTGGTTGAGTTGTTTCCCAGAATTCACTTCGAATATTAATCTGGACGAAGATCCTGCTTGGTCCAAGGAACTGTAACTGTGAAGGTTCGGATTATCATTAGAATAAGGAACCATTGAAGTATATCGCCTAGCAGCTTTTTGGAGAAAAGGCGAGTTCCGGAGCCTGGCTGATTTCTGTACTATTAGTCCTATATTTTAGAATCACTAAGAAGCCTTTAGCTACTTAGTAGCGATACTTATTTGAAGGAGCCTGGACGAATACAAACAGCACTCTTATTTTTAGTATAAATAAAATAAGATCTTGAGAGAATGGTAGAGGAAATTTTGAGCAAACTTGGAGACTATGTTAAAATGGGAGAAAGAGCAAACAGAGATGACTAGAAAAGTGTTGCTGACGGGAGACATCCTCGGCAATCTAGCACCATGTCAGACGGACGGCTCTTCACGGCCTAGACGGTTGAAATTTGAGCGTTTTCCCTTACCATCATCTGCATCTTCCATCTTGGTGGTAAGCCCCGCAAACTTGAGCTCTTTGAAATATTCATCACGCCTTGAAAACAGCTTCGTTTTTTTCTTTCATAGGTCAATTTAGATTTTTATCGAACGGCAGATAGTTGAGTTTTAGTAATCATTAAAAAAAAGCGAAAAGTCAGATGTGAGGATTTTATATTTTTCGACGCCTAGCAAACAAACACATCAACATGGTCACACTATGGCATTGGGTGACACCGCAACTGAGTAAGGTAGTTCGAATTCCCTGCCGAGAGTAAAAGGTTAAGATCCTGGCTCGTACGTGAAAACGTAAACAGGGGTGGTCAGATGAATCATGACGTATGATGCTTCAAGTAATTAATCTAGAGAGAGGGAGAGACATGAGATTTATTGTACTAATGGAGTAATAGACTATCTTGCAGATTGAGCTCCTCTCTGACCCAGGCCACACTTTGTACAGTGCTCCTTGCCTCTCATGTTTCTTCGAAGATCATTGATATGTTGCCCGTGATGAATAGCCATTCAGCTCAGTGTTTACCCGTGGAATTCGGCCACCTTTTCCACGGAACCTTCTACCCAAAAAAAAAAAAAAAAAAAAAAAAAGGTAGCAATGGAAACTGCGTGCGCGGGAAAACGTCCCAAAGAACCTGCAGCCCCAGCCAGGCGAGGCCTAGACACCGGGACCACATGAGGTGCGCATATTCATCTATATCTCCCTTCTTTGAAACATTCGAGGCCAATTTCATCCAATCCGCCATCTCCGTACAGGGTGCTGGGTACGCTCCGGAAACTCATCGGATTGCATCTCCTCCATGATCAAGGGTTAGTGATGAGTAGGACTCCGACCCTACCATCTGATCTGACCGTGGTTAGCTTCATGATAATGGTGATAGGGGAATGTGTTGAGAGATGAAGACGATTGAGGCCGCGGATGCGATTGGGAATCCTCGTCGAAGTGAGGACTTTGTTACTCAATCTCGGCTCTGCGGACTTTACACCGATAGCTGGAGGTTCACAGGGGACACAACCGACAGGTATTTTGAATAGTCCCCCGATAGTTAATTGAGTTTATCAAGTAGCAGTGACATAGAGTCATGGCGACTCAGCACCTCTCAGCTGTATCCTTCAAGAATACGCGATATTCGTAGCAGAGTCTGTAAAATCAAGCTTGAGTCAAAGAAAATTTGGAGGGCTTCTACTGTTGGTGAGTCCACAGCATCCTCCAATACTCAAGGCGGTACAAAGAGCTTAGGCTAGGCTTCTTTATGACACACTCTGCATATAAATACTTTACTGATAATTTAGAAAAATCCCCAAAATTTACAGAGACGCGCATGACGTAAACGATATAGAACAGGCAAGGAATGCAGAGAGCAATTCTCGTAAGAACATAGACGCTAATATTGCAGTGTATGGCTGGCTAGCCTCTCCAAACGCATCAGGATAGCTATATCTTTGAACTTTGCCTTGATCCCGGCACTAAGAGGGCACACTAACCGTGGGAAATTCATGTGGAGATATATGGCCTGGATCACAAAACTGTAGAACCAGTGATGGGAAGAATCTATGCGTCCTAACACAATCTTGGACTTATGGGAAAATAAAGCACTATTTGTGAGCCAGACAGCTTAGGTCCAAGGGGAGCCCAATGTTTTAGATAGTCTTTATGTCAAGTACTACAATTAATACACACAAACTTTATGTTGGATCTAAGAGGTAATTCTAGCCGGGTTCGTATGTGTTGTTTCTGTTGTTTGAATTTGAAATTATTTGGTCAGATTTGGCGCCTTGTGGACCCAAGCTTGTATCTACGAACTCTAATATTTAAATAGGAGGAAACCATTGTTGTCAGACTCCGCTCAACCTTTCAATTTTTTCATACTTGGATTCTATGTTACCTTTGAGAACTGCACTGACACTGTTATGTCCAGTGCGGATTCCGTCCACTTCCTTGCTACCGGCAGGAGATCATCTGTCGCCTATTGCCCTCCCTCTCTCTCATCGTGACTTCGACTTCAAGCATCAATTGAAATGGCTCAAATCTCCCTTCATTTTGAATCCACTTTGTAATTTTTGCCACATCTTTCGGGTTATTTATCATGACCTCAAATGACCGGGACTCTGCCTTTCTCAGTATCTCCCCTTGGCCGAGTTGGAGCAGGCCATAATCATGCACTTGACATTTTGGGACGGATATCCACATTGGCATCGTGGGCTCTCTACTCCTAGATCACGTCTTTTACACAAATAAGAATTGAACTTAATGTGCTCACTTCTTATCTGTATGGCTACGCTACTTTGGGCCCTATTCAGGTTTTGTGGATACGGATGAGTGTTCCTCTAGAGTTCATTCTTGTCCTTCCCATCTTGTCATCTGTAAAGATATTTGCTGTGTTCTAGATTTTAGGATCTGCTGTCGCGTAGTGGTTACTAGGCTGCCCGGCTGTAAGTTTCGTTCAAGATCGTTGCTATTCTTTAAATGCTGCGACCTTTCCAGCCGCTTTCTGTCGGTTTTTAGTGTCGAAATTCCCGCAGATCTAGCTCCAATCAGAAAGATCGTAAATCCTTGTTCGTACGCGTGTATCTTGTCTCCCAGCTCGGGGTTGCTTAATCTTCCTACATGCCGACGATATTACATCTTGAATAGGTAGGCTTTCCGGTAGTCCGGCGTGTTTGATCCTCTTATTTCTAGATAAATATCCATGAGTAAGGTAGAGATCTCATACTAAAGTACCTTGCTGCTGGTCGATTATAGGCACTCGTGACGATCTTTGGGCATCTTTTTTGAATACTTCGGAGGGACTTGATTACCCTTTCGGGTATTTATTTATTGATTTGATTTTGATTGAATTTAACGTCGTGTCTATCCACAGCTCGTGACTGCTGTCACATACTGGACGGCCCAGTCCTTACAGGACTACCCGAGGCTCTATCATGCACTTGTAATCACCATGTCCCCTCAGGGACGGGGCTTTGGTTGTAACTAGTGCCCGGTAGACATTAAAAATAAATAAATAAATCTAGCACTCACTACAACACCTACACACAGAGGGCAAGACTGAACACCTGTACGCGGTGTGCTCTACGAACCTGGGGGTGAAATATTCTCCCAGAGCCAAGTTCAGTCAAATTTAGCAAAACCGAACAAGTTGGCCGTCAAGGCAATGATTCAAAATACTCCACCATGTCAATCTTTCACTATCAAAGAGTCCGATTCTCAATTAAGCTTCATCAAGTCTACAAGTACGACCTAGTACATCCTCATCCCAATGAACATACCTCTCGTCGACTTTCTCTGGCCTCAGTTGACCACCAAATACACGCCCACGCCGATATTTATACCCGACGGAGGAAGCAAAGCGTGGAGCACAATTTTGGGAGATAGCTCTTTGGGACGGACGTGAGAGGGATGAGGACAAGTTTACAAGATGATGCAGGAGAGGGATACATTCTCGACGGGCGTGAAATTTCGAAGTTTGGCAAGAGTTTTACGGATTGAGCTTTTTGCGCGCCAAGACTTCGCTTGTGAGAGTGTAGCTGAAACTATAAACACAAGTCAACGAAGGAAGGTGTTGTGGTCCACCTCCTGGTGATGTTCTCTCGTATGGTTTGAGTAGCCTGGGCACCTACTCCACTTGGGAAGGAGACATCTCAGATCATATTTCGCACGGAGAAAAGTTAACGGATGACGGAGGCATGTCCGGATAACTCTGGGTGTCTGAGACGCTCCCCTGGGTGGGTATTCACGGATCAGGGTTGACTTGGAGTGAAGAAAAAGCCACCGTAACTTCGCAGTGTTACTTGAAAATGAAATCCCAGGCATGAGTGCCCCTCTTGTATATTGGGTCATCTTTTCTGTTGTTACTTTGATATTGTTTTTTGTTTTCTATTTTTTAAGTCCTAGGATATACCTGTTTTCTCCTGAGAGTCATAGACTGGGGTTTACAGCTAAGATCATATCTATGATATGCCCAACTTGTTCCCACCACGTGAACCGCTACTCAAATTGTAGCCAGTTAAATTACATGCAGCCATATACAAAATAGAAATCACAACATAGCTCCAGGCTCCAAAACTTTGAGCTCCAACTAAATATCAGCACTTGTGGTTGGGAAGCAAAACTTCTCGCCTTGTTCCCCTTCCGATCGAGTCATGTTACATAATTAATTTATATGGACCTCGCTGAGAGCAGAGGCTCAGCCTGCAGCTGATCGCCCACAACATCGGGTTTTCTGTGCAAAATTTTTGAATGCTTCGAGGCACTTGGGTCCTAGAAGTTCATGAATGAAGTCGTCGTGGGACTTTAGACCTCGGATTCGACGTGTTTCGTGAGAATAGAGTCAACAGTGTATAAATTGGGTTGAACTAGTCTCTTTCCCACACGCGCACTCACTAGATGTGTCTGCATTGTTGAATCGGCGATGATAGGCCGCGAAATTGCCGTGTCCCGTATGGGCTGCAATTAGTTCGCGGAGTAGATGCCTTGATAGGGCTAGTTCAGGAGCCTTGCGCCGTTTCGTGAGCAGATCTAGCTTTCGATACCGAACAGGGCACGCTTTATCCCACCAATCGTTGAGCAAAGTCTGTAGCCGACTATACATGAGACGGCGAAGGTATGCCAACGAAATGGTTTCTGATTGGTTGTCCGGACTGGGCAGCATTTGTAAGCCGAGGCACGCAGTTGCGTCTGCTTCTTCGTTCCCTTGTATTCCAGAGTGACCGGGGATCCACTTAATCGTCATAGCAGCTGACGCTGAGAGTATGCGAAACTGACGTACCTCTTCGAGGCTGGTTGAAGAGATGCCCGTCTCAAGTGCTTTTATAGCATGTTGACTATCCAGAAAAACATTCACTCGCCGAATCGTCTCCCCCAGCTACTGTTGCGCTTCTTTAAGTCTCAACGCCGCCTCAAGAGCCTTCAGCGCCCCTGTGATTTCTGCGTCCAAGACCTCTCCTCCGTGTCGGATACCATTCTCCTTGAGAAGAGTTTTACCATATCTCTTCACAACAAAACCCCAAGCTGAACGTCCGTTTCCCTCCGAAGAGCCGTCTG